TGCTGTAAAACTATTAAAGCCATTAGGAATATATGTGTTATAGATATTATAGTGGCATCATATATTGTGCAGTGTAGAGACCAAGAAATTATTTGTTGACAGGAGAAGGGGAGATAATCTGGTTGGGTTGTTATTTTCTCTTTTTCCCAGTACTGAGGATTGAACCCAGGGCTTACAATGTACTACATCCCCTTCCTTTTTTTGTATTTTTTTACTGACTGATTGATTGGTTGATTGATTGAGACAGGATCTCCATAAGTTGCTAAATTGTACAGGCTAGGCTCAAATTTTCAGTCCTCCTATCTCAGCCTCCCACAATGCTGGGATTATAGGCATGTACCATCATACCCAGCTTGGCTGGTATCTTACTCTTAGCTATTATTGATTTGTTGGGTATAGATATCATTTTTTTGCAGATATTAATATCTACGCCAGGCATAACATTGTAAGAGAGGGTAAGTAATGTGGTTGAAGTTCACTGAGATCTTTAGAATTCTCCTTACCATCAAAATAGTTTAGTCTCACTAAAGCCACAGAAATTTTGTGACTGCAGTCTGTCCCTAGTAGGCCTTCTCTCCTAGCCAGCCCCCAGGAATGGGCCAGAGAGGTTGGCAGGTTATCGTGCCAACTGTATCTTAGGGGTGTGGGCCCTCTTTAAGCCTCAGTTCTCTGGATAGAGACCAAACTCTACAGCCAGTGGAAGCTCCATACGGTTTTGTGTGAGCACATTTCCATTGTTGATACTGTACCTTTCTCATTTTCTGGTCTGATTTTGATTTTCCACACTCAGAGGCTCTGCACTTTCCAGGACACCCCAAATCTCCTATTCTTCTTCCTTCCTTGCTACTTGCTTTGTCACCAAGCACCCTGTCTTGGTTTTCTGACCTCTCACTGTGCTTGCCCAAAGAAAACACTGTTATGCTACAACAGAAGCTAAAGAGACAGGGAGAGTAGGAGAGGCAGGTAGGAACAGTGCTCCTGAAAACAACCAAAGAAAGCATTCATGGTCCTTTCTGCAGCTCAGGAAAAGCCCAGCTAGAATGAGAAAGAATTGGTAGAATAAGTGAGTTCTTGCTGAGCCCCCAATACAAAGGTCACTCTTCAAAATCAGGGTGTCTTAGCCCACTACAGTGGATTTTTCTGAAATATTTTGAGCTTTGAGCAGAAGCCTCTGCATCTACTAACTTAAGCAGCATCTTTCTTCTTTTTTTCACTTGTTAGTCACAGTAGGGGAAATATCAGAGCTGGTCCATGAGAAGGAGTTGAAGGTCAGGCATAGAAAAATGGGCCAGGGATGTAGCTCACTGGTGCCATGCCTGCCTGGCAAGCTCAGGGTCCTAAGTTCAATCCCCTGTACAAAACAAACAAACCAAAAACATGGAGAAAAGTATAAACTTTCACCTCTTCCCTACCCTTGAAAAGGTAATAAACGACATTGCTTCTCCCCTCAGTTCTTCATCTTCTATTAGTTTCTCTGCCTCCAATGTTCCAGTTGCTGCTTGATAAAAAACCCTCGGGCTATTCTGTTAACATTTTATCCATGATACCACTTATTTCCATTAGCATAGATAATTAATAGACTATATAGAGAGATAGACTATTCAGACTATACCCTTAACTCTGAATTTCACAGCAGCAATATACTTGTTTGCTTTATTGATTATCTGAAACAACTTTTTAAAATCCTGGATTGGCTTCCCTATCCCAGGCAAGTCATTTCTCAGTTGATTTCATTTATCCTCAGTTCCTTTGTGCTTGGTGGAATAGTTTAGTTTTCCTTTAAAAGATCACATACTCTGTATTCAGTGATTTTTTCCCCTTTACTTTTCAAAACATCATAAGACAGGTACTTTCTGTATTATTTCCTACAGATAAGGAAACCGAGGTTTAGAGAGGTTAAATAACATGCCTAAGTCACTCAGCCAAGGAAATGGAATTCATATCTGACTTCTGCATCTCTGTATCCCAAAACAGATCATTTTAGAGTAAAGAGGTTCCTGTGAGCTTACCCTTAATATTATAATTTAAGTTTCCACTTTGCTTTTGGTATCCCTTTCTGACAAGCCAGACTTCTTATTTCTGACCATAGACTCAAACCTGGAAAGCTGTCTGCCACCATTTATCTTCACCTTTTCTTTCTTCATTTGGAGAACAACAAACAGCAGACCATGTCCATCTCATTTATAGTTTCTATATCCCTTATAAGAAATATGCAGGAAAATATGATAGAAAAATAGTAACATTCCATATGAACGATATTGCTCCAAATCCATATATTTAGAAAGGAAAATTGTGGACACTTGAGTAATCTGAAAATAATACCCTGTTTAACCAGACAGTTCCTGAAATGACCACACTCCACCTTCACAGCATTTTAATAATTATACAGAGCACATTCCTTCAAGGAGTTCCCAAGTGCTTTGCAAACTTTTTTTCCTCATTAACTAGCATACCACTTTTCTGTGGCATGGAAGGGAACAGGATATTTTGTCATATTTAAAATGTGGAACTGCTAATGCATTGAGAAATTGAGCAGGTTGCCCTCGGGTCATTTGCTGGCAAGGCCAGAAGTAGAGTCCTCTGGGCTTGTGGGCCACCCTGAGCAGAAGACCAGCAAACTTGCAAAGGCCTATGAAGTCCTTGGTATAACTCCTCACTTACAGAAAGCAAAACAAACCTAGGGAGATGAAAGCTTTTAAAAAGCCCAGGGTCACCGAATAATTAATGGCAGAACCGACACTGCATGCATACAAACAACATACATATATATGCTATTGAGAGAAAGATGACAACTGTGAAGAATCAATTTATAGTCAAATGAGAAGGGTGTGAAAGTAAAAGGCCTTTGTCAGTGACCTTGCCTGAGGAAAAGCACACAGAAGGTGAAAGTTTCAAATAGCAAGAACATTTAGCACCAAGTTTCAACTTTCTAGCAGCCAAAATACCATCTGGAATTTAAGGCATGCTTCCCATTAAAGGTGACAGGTGGACATGTTTTTAAAGATATTTGGCCGTATATCGTACCCACTATAAATTATACTGAAAGCACAAGGATAGCAAAGACCAGCTGAGTTCCAAGCGTGTTTACAGCTGACAGAAATGTTTCAACTAAAAATAACACATATGACTGTGTCTTAGGGAATCTCTCATTTCAAAAAAAATTAGCAACGTAAACATTATGCATAGTCTGAGCTCTTCAGCAAACTGAGATTATTAGCAATGAGCCTTTCCTAACTTCCTCTATTTTAACCTAAAAGTGAACTAAAGTAAGAACTATTATTCTCACCTAACCCTATGATCCTCTGCATCATATTGTCCCATCAGTATGCCTTAAAACAAATCCTTTTATATTTGACAACACAACAACAACAAAAAACTGATGGGAGAAAATTTCACAAAGTGGGTCATGAACCTAAAAACGCTTAACATTGAGCCTGGCACATAATAAGCTTGCAATACCTGGTGATCATTTTTATTGCTTTTAATATGTGACACATCCAACTTCTGTTTCATAATAGAAAAATAGAAACATATTCAAAACATACACTTTACATAGAAATTACCTCAAATTCAAGAATTAGATTCCTTACCCTGCTGAATTTGTAGTGCAGATATTGAGATATTACCTTAGGGAGGTTCCAGCTCTGGGCTTTTAGGCCAGCCACATTAGAAAGTAGAAGGAACTTTCTACTCTGAGGTAAGTGCCTGTGTTGGGCAATCAGTAATGAAATGGGAGAAATATACCTTAATGTAGTTAATCTCACCTATCAAGCACAGAACAACAAAAGTTGAGAGCAAACAATACAAACACAAACAAGTCTTTAATTATCCACAGAGATGTCATAAACTCACGAACTTGTCTTATAGAAGAATCCTTGTCACGATTCAGTGACTGAGAAATCTTATTAACTTTACTATTTTTAACTAGCTTAATCATTTGGTTCCTAAGCCAGTGGCAAATCAAAGCAGTAAATGAAGAGGAAAAAAAGACTTCTGCCAACAGGCTAAGAAAAAAGAGAGAAAAACTATTTTAGAAACTGACCTAAGAGTTTAAAAAGCATACGGAACCATTTAATGGGGGGGAGGTTGGCCTTGTAATAAGAATACCAGGCAAGTACTCCCACACCACCCTTGGTGGTCTGCAGAGTGATTTCATATGTATTTTCCATCAACATCAGCACAATGAGGTAAGTAGGACTCTATATCTTGGAGGCATTTGGTGATTTATCTTAGTAGTATACTGTATTGGTGCCTAAATTTGAACAGCATTTGATTCGAAGACCAACATATTATCCACCACCTAGTCAACTTTCACACCTAGAAGAGCCTATCTACAGCTCACTGCAGTCAATGCAAAATAACCAGTTAACTCTTATGTTACATTTAAGGAAGATTTCTGACTAAAATCCATAAAATTGAAAAAGCATAGCTCTTCAGAATGATTTCTTTCTATGTTAGCAAATATCATCCAGACTTAGAATTATAATGAAAACATTTACTAGGCAAAACAGTAAGTGGGAAGTGGGGACTTTCTCAAAAGAACCAGGCTGTATGACCAATATTCCTAATCCCCACAGATTTAAGAGAACCTCATTTCTCCAGAGATCTATTATTTCCTATATTTATTAGACACTGTTAATGGGAAGCATTTAAATCCCTAATGATGACACTGAAGATGACTCCCTGACTCCCTTCTCTCCACAGCATAACCTTTAAAGACTTTTAAGGAGGGAGATCTTGTAGCTTTCCAAGATAGTCATTTTTTTGGTGTGTGGAAAACTCTAGACTATCCTGGCATCCCTTAAAGCAAGATTTCTCTGACCATGAGAGGCTAGGAAGGCCTGGAATTTTCCAATCAAAGATGATCCATTCAGCAATCAGATTTTATTTTTTAAATTCTTTTGTTTTTCTTTTTTGTTGTCTTGTTTTTCTGTCTTTCGTTTTCCCACCTTGGCTATGTCTCGCTCTGTCCTGCTTGCTGTCTCTTCCCACATCAACAGGTGAGAAGCCCCACCAATGCAGCATCTGCTGGCGATCCTTCTCCTTAAAGGATTACCTTATCAAGCACATGGTGACACACACAGGTGTGAGGGCATACCAGTGCAGTATCTGCAACAAGCGCTTCACCCAGAAGAGCTCCCTCAATGTGCACATGCGCCTCCATCGGGGGGAGAAGTCCTATGAGTGTTACATCTGCAAAAAGAAGTTCTCCCACAAGACCCTCCTGGAACGACATGTGGCCCTGCACAGTGCCAGCAACGGGACCCCTCCCGCAGGTACACCCCCGGGTGCCCGTGCTGGCCCCCCAGGTGTGGTGGCCTGCACAGAGGGGACCACTTACGTCTGCTCCGTCTGCCCAGCCAAGTTTGACCAAATTGAGCAGTTCAACGACCACATGAGGATGCATGTGTCTGACGGATAAGTAGTATCTTTCTCTCTTTCTTATGAACAAAACGACAAAAAAAGAAATAAACAAACAAACAAAGCTATGGCACTAGAATTTAAGAAATGTTTTGATTTTGTTTTTACTTTCTGTTTTTGTTTCTGTTTCGTTTCATTTTGTACTACATGAAGAACTGTTTTTTGCCTGCTGGTACATTACATTTCCGGAGGCTTGGGTGAATAATAATTTTCCCAGTCTCCCTCGGATGGTGGCCTTAAGGCCTGGTAGTGCTTCAGGAGATCCACTGGTTGGATCTCTAGCTACTGGCCTCTAAATACAACCCTTCTTTACAAAAAAAAATCTTTTTAAAAAGTAAAAAAAAAAAAAAAAAAAAAAAAGAAAGAAAAGAAAAGAAAAAAATTTTTCCACTTGTGAAGAGCACTACAAAATATATAACAAAATCTAAAAGGCCTACTGTCTTTAAGTACACCGCTTGCAGTGTTTCCGTGAACATTTTCACAATTCTGGCCGCTTGGACTTCACAGTAACCAGTTAAAACTGTGGAATATCACTTCTGGTGAAAACCCAGAGGAAAGGCCCTGCTGTTTTCCACCTACCACGTTGTCTGATTTCATAAAAGTGCTGTAGGGGTGGGAGGGGGCAGTGGGGTCAGTGGTGTGGGAAAGGGGAATGGCAAGCTTCTCCCCTAGATTCTGCCTGCCTCCACACACCCTGGCTCACCTCCTCCACATCCCCCCTTTTCAGCAGAAGCCAGAAAGACTTGGACAAGCAACAAGCAACAGTGGCTATCGTATTTATTCAGTGTCTTCGCTGGGCCACAGCCTCAGCACAATCAAGAGGGACTTTCATGAAAGGCAGGAATGCAGATAAAACAAAGATATCAGAGATTTGCACCTATGTTTCTAGGTACAAGAGAAGGATTATTTCCAACAATCTTTGCAAAAAAAGAAGTGTCAGGATATATTCTTGTGGAAGAGAAAAAGAAAGAAATGGAGGGTGGGGGGAACACTAAGAAGTTCTTGAGGCTTTTTTAATTCAAAATTTTATAGAGGGGCAAAAGTGACATTTACCAGATAGAATGCTGATTTTTTTAATATATTTACAACAGTATTTGTGTAAAAAAAAAAACAAAAAATGAGATTGTTAAAAGTAATTATTTTCATTTTGGTTTTGCATACACTGCCACCAATCCCTTCTCTTTTATTTTGTTTCACACACATATATGTATTTTTTGGTAAGTCAAGACTGTTAAGGTTAGCAATACTGCTTCCAGACAGAAAGAATAAAAAGCAACTAAAGTTATATTTGAAAGAGAGGAAGGTTATTTTCATTTTTTAATTTTTCTTAATTTTTATTATATTAAGTATTGCCTGGGTTGATGAGGGCCTCTGTGGCCCACCCATCCCTGCTGTAATTTGAACTGCTGCTTTGTATTTGGATATGTAGTTCTTTGACTTTTAGCAAGCTTAAGTTGCTCCACTGAATTTTTTTTTCACTGATGCATCTAGAATTCTTTTCTTTTCATGGAAAGGACTTTATCTTTCAGAAGCAGACTTCTTGCTTCTTCAAAATTTTATTGCACTCTGATGATTCTAGAATTTCTATTGACTTTGCTTTTTGTCTTTCATGAAACACTAGTCATCTAGAGGTCTTGACGAATGGGTTTCTTTTGTGGTTAGCCAGGAGGAGGACTTCACAGAACGGCCACACTCCTCATGCTTCACAAGCCCATGGGCATCATTATGAGAATCCTGTTACAAACCATGATGCACTGATGCCAGAATTACTTTTTCTTTCAAGTATCACTTTCTGACTCTTTCCACCATGGCTAAGAGGGCTAAATAAGATGTTCGTTCTTTAGATAATTTATTAATCCTTGCTTTTTGGAAAGGTCTTAGGAAATTAACAGTTTCCTTGATGCCAACATCCACTATTCAAAAGGCCACCAATCTACTGCATCATGCCAGATGCCACTCTCTCTTCCTAGTTGGGATTTCTCTCCTCGGTCCTAATCAAGAAATCGTAATAGAGACTTTTCCATTATAGACAGTGTCATAAAGGGATTCTAACTCAAAATAGGACTTTTTAACCTAATACTCCCAAAGTGATTTCACTACAGTGCATATTTTAATACACTTAAAGGGAAAAGTAAATCTTTAAACAAAGCAAAAACACCAAACTATAGTTTTAAAAACAGAGAAAAGAAAGGGTATTTTACTTTCAAAAATTACTCTACATTTTAATTTAGTCTTCCTTTTAGAATTTTATTTACAAAAAGCATGTAGCAAATGAGGGAAAAATCTTCCAAAGCAAGCAACTCTATAATGACTAAATTGATTTTATTCATGTATTTCAGACATTGGTTAACTTGGATCTTTTCCATAAGTTCTTTGTGATGTTTAGTAGAGTTTGTGCAACTGGAGTATTTGTGACTTCATCTGTCCTACTGTCTTAATTCAGTGAATATTTTGCTAGAAGTTTTAATGTAGACTTGGATGGTTACCCAACTACTAAATATCACCCCTTGTGATTTCTAAGAAAAGTCCCATCAAAAGCTAGGTGGCCAAAACTCACCTGTTCTAAAAGTCAATGAAATGGCTTCAGAAATACAAAAAGTCCAATTTTCTATTGCTAATTTTGCTTTCTACAGTGTCAGTGTTGACTAATATTTCCACTTAACCACCAATAGAGGGAGCATTAAGTAACTTTGTCATGGAATATTTTGATATTTTGAAAAACAACCCACTCAGCCCATAAATTAAAAAAGATTGACACTGAGGAGAATAACATGAAATAACTCAACATATATTACAAATGAAAAAAGGCCCAATGCCGCTTTAAAATATTTTCAACTATGTGACAATAGTCCATTTAAAATAGTGTTTTCATTCAAACCTTAGCAACATAGAATTCATACTACCTCCAGAAAAGTTGATCTGGAGTGCCATTTGGGCAACATTTAGCTGTCCACTTCTGAAAGCTGAAGGAGAGCCATTGGTTTTCATGATTCACCATTGTCAAAAGCTAAATAACTGGGTTGAAATCCAGCTTTTGTCATGGAATATGTAGAGGAAAAAAGAACACCTCCGGACGACTAGAAACTCTAATGTTCATCCTTTTCCTATAAAGTAGTATTTCTTTTTTAAAAAGTTGGGGGTTCCTAAAGAATTCTTGATGAGTTGATATAATCACTGTCGTCAGTTACCAAATGGATTATCCAGTTTTGCCTGGCAGTTGACTTCTTCTGACTATATGTTTCTTCCTTCCAAACATCTCACAGCCTGAATTAGTTGACACATTATTCTCTGGAAACAGGGAGAAGCTAAATTAGAGTTGGAGCTCAAACCTAGGGGAGCAGAGAAGCTGCTGTGGGTCTATTATAAAATGGCCTCTGAAGGGCTACTTCTCACACTGACCCACATTTTAGAAAATAAACTCATCCTTACCTATTTCAAAAGGATATAGGTGCTTCCAGACTGCCAATCTTGAATTACAACTAAATAATCACAAATATCTTAAAAAATAGAGAAACGTTTTTGCCTCAAGATCAGAGAATGAGTATGGATTCTTTTATATTTTTTTGTTTCAAATTCTACAATTGGTACAATTAGACCTTCATGCTCGGATGCTTTTTTAAAAAGGTGCTTTTTAAAAAATTCTTTTCAATAATCAGGAAAAAGATAAGATGGAAGCAGATGTTTCAGATTTAAAACCTCTTAGGGTAAGACAGGAACAAGATCTGATGTGGGAAAGAACATTTTTTAAAAGCAATTTATGATTTAAAAATGAAATTGCTAAACCAGGAAGAGAAAAAAGTCAAAGAGGAGTGTTTATCTCAAGACATTTAGATACTAAACATTGGTAGTGTCTCAACATACTGGGCATTTTTCTCTATTAAATGCCAATGGTTGTTGGAGGAAAAGCCTTTAAATATGTAAAATATAAGACTAGAAAAGCAAATCAGAACACACCAATCTGATACAGATGTACAGTGGGAAAAGATTGGGAAACAAGCCAAGCCCCCTCAAAAAAAAAATTTAAATGAAACTCTTCATATCAAAATATTTTTTACTATATATTTTAATTGAGTTGTAAACTTTTCCCCTAAAAACAGTTTTACAGACTTTTCCCTCCCCAAATTCCTAATGCCTTGAATCCTTTTGTGCATACGTGTGGTAGATAATTCCCAGCTCATGTTCCAGCTCCAGCCCATTCCTTTGCTCCTAGTCATATTAAAGGTCACTAAAGATGTTGGCCTTAAAATGACTTGGGTTTGTTTTAAGACTCATGGAGATTTTATTTTGTATTGTAATATTCTATAAGGACCAAAAACCCCTTTTCCAACCTGTGAAAAGGGAGAAATTTTGCATTCTAATAATGAAAAGAGAAAAGGTTTCCTCTGGAGATGTTTATTTCAGTCCTAACATCTTAATCTAGTCCTACTCCCCTCATCCAAAACCACCAGCAGTATGTGCCCTGCTTATGCCCCCAAGGCAGTGTTTTTTTAAACACAAAGTTAAAAATGATGTGTGTCCTGTATAAAGTTCCTCAGATCCCCAAGAAAACATAATGAGGCTCCTGTTGCTTCCTTGTTGGGCCCTTAGCAAAGGAGGAAATGAGGTCAATGTAGCCAGAGTTCACTCTAGATATGTTCATCTTGGAGCCTTCCTCTGCTGTTACTGAAGATGTCATTTAATTAGTTGAGGCTGGATGCGGGGATATATGATTCTGCAGAAAATGTATCACATGATACCATCAGACCTGGCTCTGCCGTCGCCAGTGTAGTGCTGCAGCAAAGGGAACAAAAGGAAAGTGCAATGTAAGAGCAGACACAAGCTGAGATGCCCTGAGATGGGTTGAGAACAGGAGGTGCCCTTTCTGTTGTGACTTGACTCTAAAAAATCTTCTAAAAGAATTCTTTAATTTAGTAATGAGTTGAAGTCCAGGGTTATGGAAGCTCTGGGGAAGATAATAAAAGAATTTCAAAATGTATTCAGTACCTAACAATGCTAAACCAGAAAACATCCAATAGAAAACTAAGAAGTTTGGCAAGATGTATTTAGAGAAATCTAGGCTTTTCCATGGGCAGGGTGGACAGACTTTCTTTTGAGTGATTTCTGGCTCTGAGAAACCTCTTTACTCACTAGAAAAGAACTTTATTTAAATGGCCAATTTTGTCCCCCAAAGAAGGACTTTTTTTTTAAAGAAGGAAAGAAAATAGGACACTAACAACAGAAGCATGTGACTTGGTGACAAACAAAAGGAAGGGTGCACTAGAATTTCAATAGACTCCCTAATTCCACAGAAAAAGCAAAGCAACCCAGTGCCTCTGAGCTCCAGACTCTCAGTCTGCAGTGAGTGGAAAGAGTGCTTGAGCCTGAGTCGGCCTGACCCCCAGGGCTTTCTAAGGCAAGACAAAATTTCCCCACCGGGACCACGGCAACCTCTTTCTCCTCTCTGTGTTTTCATGAAGAAAAGGGCTGTTCTCCTAGATACCCAGAAAATGGATTACGTGGGGCAAAATTTCAAAAACAATCTCTGCCCTGGTGCTCAGGCTGCCTAAGAAGGCAGAAATGGGGCACAAAAGAGCCCTTGCACTTGAGCAAGAACATTTTCATATTTCCAAGGGCTTTCTGTGTAGAGTTATTACTGATACCACTTAAACCTCCAAAAGAGGAAAGGCTATGGTGATTCCGTGTTCTGATAAACACAGCATGTAGAAATTACTAATCCAAAGCATCATTTCTAGCACAAAATATCACAATGATCAGCCTGACTAAAATATCCCAAAGATTTTTCAAAGTCTGTAGACTTTTTTTCCTCCTTGAATCCACTGCAGTCAGTGGTGTACATTAGCAGATCCCAGGATGCAATTATTGAATGTTAGGGTTTGTTTCCATTCTTTGTAGGATGAAGAGGTAGAAGATGAGGGCAGTACAAGCTCTTTCTCAGAACTATTTCCTTTTCACTGAATGAGAGGTAAAATGCCCTGGGTTGAATAAAGAAACATCATCATCTTTCCACACTACTGACTGAAATGATGTGCATGCGAGTGGTTTCTTCAGGCCCACATGTTGCTCCATAGAGTGAATACTTTCAAAATGAAATCTAAATTCTGGGCTGGGGATTTAGCTCAGTGGTGGTGCACCTGCTTCACAAACACAAGGTCCTGAGTTCTATCCCCAGTACCAGAAAAAAAAAGACTCTCGAGATGAAAGCTATTCTGAACTGACTTCAGTTACGATATTCTTACCAGAAGCCACTACATTATAGAATTTTTGCCTGAAACTGGAAAGCCCAAGGAAGAGGACAGAAGATACAGAAATTGGAAGGTTGTTATAATATGGACATTTTTGGCTTTCTAACAGTTCCATCATCACAGAAATAACCCAAATTTGTGATAAATGACTATAGAAACAGTGACTTCTTGGGGGCACATCAAACTTGTCCAGCACTGGCTGCTCTCAGGAAGTGGCTGCTGTTTCCTAAGAACTCTATTTTATTGATAGGTCTGAGTTGAATGTAAAACAAATATCATATTGCTAAATAATGAATCCCATAAAACAGTAACAGCTGCCTAGGGTGTCAGTTTCAAACATTTCCTTAGCAGAGAGAGCAATCCCAATCAAAAGCATTCTTCCCCTTCAAAGTGCACATCTCTAAACCTCTTTTTCTCAGTTTTGGAGTGCATCTGGTTTATCTGGTGGTTCTCTGTTTAAATGCAAACTCAGAACTTTCAGGTCTTAAGTGAAGGATCATAATCTGCAGATCATAATCAAAATCTAGTCACAGTCATGAGAGTCCCAGCTTCTGAGGTACCTAAGTAGGATATGAGAGTCCCTACTCATTTTCTTTCAATTTCAGAGGTTTCTTCGTTCAGAATGCCTTAATGAAAGTCTGATACACTCAAGATAGGGGGAAAAAAAATCAATCCCGCAGGAGACATCTATTTCTACTACTGTTACAGCCATTGTTACTGCCCACCAATGTTATTGTAATTGATATGTAGATTTAGTGATGAAAGGGTCTTAACCCATCCAGTGTGTCACAGCTGCTGTCCAGAATTCTGTACATGAGTGTACATTGTGCATGTGTACATGCAATGTGAGGTGCTCTTAGTACAAAACTATTCCATATTCATATTCCCTAGTGAAAACAAGGTAGCTTTGAGAATTTCTTGTTAGAAATCAAAGGTCTGACATATCTCACATACCTGCTTCTGCTCTGCTGCCTTATGTGGTGCATCAGTATCTGTGCTGAGGCTTTAGGGCTTTCTGAAGGAGCCCAACCATCAGTCATTTCTCTATTCCCCTTTGATGAGAAGTAACTTGAACAAATGATACACTTCTACTGGACTCATTGATATGTGTGCACATGTGTGTGTTTGTGTATATTTATTGTCATGTGGGAATGTGTGTGCCTACCAATGGAAGCACACACAGACAGAGATCCTGGTGCATAGATGCATTTGCCTCTTCCGCTGTTGTGCTCAGACTTGTGGCTCCTTTCCCAGTAAGTCACCTGCCCATTCAGTTGGTTTTTGTAGCACTTTAGAGTTGAGAGAAACAAAGCTTGTTGGCTCCACAGCAAACCTAGAGAAACAGGCAATTTGCTCCAGAAGAAGGTGGAACACAAATAATCAATTGGGAACAGGCTGCAGGGAGTAGAAGTCTAGGATACCTCACCAAGTCTCCTGAGCAGGAGGGGCACCAAAGCCAAGCAGGAAAGGCCCAAACTGTGGCCTGAGCTATCCATTGCTCAAAGGCTTCTATTCCTTTCTTCTTGGAAACAATGTATACACACACACAAACACAAGAACCCACGTGTGAGTTTTAGTCCCAAACAAAAGCTTTCTCATGCTCCCAACATCTGCAGGATGTTGTCATCATTCTCAAACTATGTCTCCTGAAACCAGTGTGGCCTTTGCTGAAGTCTTTCCAGGAGTGGGCTGTTTTACTGTCTAGCAAACCAACAGCCTGTCATGGGCATATCTGGGGGGATCTCTAAGAATTGAAGTCTCTTTCCCATCTTAAAGTACAATGCCACACTAGTGTAAGATATACAATGAATTGACCTGGCTCTTGTACCTGACTCTTGATGGCTTGGTGGCCTGGAAACAGACTCAATTTTCTCACTTCCATGACTTTATTTTACTAGATAGTTTAGTATTTTTTATGACATTGTAAATCATTTCTGCTTTACAGAATTCAGAGGACATTTTCTTTCCTCATCTATTTTGGTGACTCTCCCTATTCCCTTGTTAAGTGAGGCTACTTACAGTTGCAACTTTTCTGGAATTTTTTTTTTTATCGTGTATTGTCTTTCTATATCCAAAAGAAGTCTGTGACTGTAACCGTAGGTATTTCTTTTTAATGGAAAAAAAATGAGCTTTGTTTTTTGTTTTTGTTTTTATAATTAACAGTACTAGTAACTTTGTAGACGAATATGAGTTACTATTTAGGTTTGCTTACTTAAGTACAGTACACTACATTGCAGTATTTCTGAAACCTAGAACATACACATTATATATAACAACTCTATATCGAAATATATATTACGTTATATTCATTTTAACTTTTGAATCTGCCTATGATCATGAGTTGATTGAATTATTTTTTGCATATATCACCCATCACCAACCTGCTACAGTTAATCTGGTGCATTTAATAATAATTATTACTGCTCTAGTTTGCTTTTTCATATTGTCAGCTTCAGTATTGTCTTTATAGGATTTTAGGATTTTTTTTAAGCTCAGACTTAGCAAATGTAGGAAAGTGAAAACTTTTTTAACTTTTTTTTTTTTTTTTTTGGTGTGGCTAATACAAAGAGGTTCATATTCAAAGTGATCTTGTTTAGCTGACCCTGTTAATATCTGAAGAACAAAAGAAGTGCATATGAATGTATCTGTGATTTTTCCCCTCCAGGACTGTCATTGTCTATATTTGCTTTTAAAAATATGACCAAGGAGCTGCTTAACCTCCACATGATCTGACCAACTATCATAGTCTGCATTTCAAAGGGCTGCTTTTGTGAGAAGCATAAAACAGTGAAATACCTAGTTGTCCCAACTGAATTTTAAGCATTGATTTTTAAATACTGGCTCTTTACTGATGGCTTCCTGTTTTCAATATGCTTATAATTATTTTAACTAGTCAACATTTCCCTGGAGGCAGCTTGGCAATATAGGGTTCATTTTCCCAGGAGATTTGTTTTTTACTAAAACCAGACTCTTAGGAACTTTTTATTGACAAAGATAAATAGAAATAAAACTCTGAAATATATGTAACATTTTTCAGTCTGCAGTATCCTTAAAATGGCGGCTGTTGGGTATCTTGGCCTCAGTATCTCCACTTGCCTGCTAGAGTGGAGTTTGATGCCTTTCTTCTTTAACTATGAAACTTTCAGAAAACAGGCATCCTGTCTTCCTGTACAAGAAATACTTTCAGATAGTATTTTTATGTAGAGTTGCTTCAGCTTCCCCCAGCTATCCAACCCAATGCCTGGCAATATCAGTGTTGGATCAACTTTTCATCTATCCTAGCTTCCTGAAATCAGTCTCATTCCCTCTTTCCTACTTTCAGAACAAAACAAGAATAGCTTTTTATAAAACTCAGTGTAAAAGCCTTCCCACACTGGGCCAATATTAAAGCTTCTCAGTGTGAATACTCCAATTCTTTCCTTCCAGCATCCCTGGTAAATTTATGTTTCTAACCCTATCCCATTCTGCTGTACTTGTCCAGCACATCTTTGTCCCCATCTCACTCTTGTTGCCTCAGCATCCTTCACATAGGCCTGGTGCTCAGTAAAGAACTGCCCTCTCTTAGTCTGTGTTGAAAGAGGTAATGTTGGGTCTAATAGGAAACAAGACAAACACAACTGTCAGTTGAGTTTTAGTGAGGCTGCTTTTTCTTCAGTGGTCACATACAGGTACTATCTGAATTGTATCACTGTCACTATTTTCCTTTTTACTTTTCCTAGCCAGTTCTCTTTATTTCTTCTTTTTAAGACTATTTTGAATTTCCTAGTCATGTCATCACTTCCCCCCAAAATTCTAATATAATCCTTGACTGTTCATTTCTCTTCCTACCCCACCCATTCTAAATGTCCTTCTTGAAATGAGTTCATAAACATAAGACTCATAGGCAAAATGAAGCATGTCTTCATTTCAACTTCAGATTTTAGAAGTTGTCAATATTCTTGTGAGAGTGGGAGGACCTGAGTCACAGTTTTAAATGTCAACTGTACTAGCTGAGATCATTAATTCCTCTCACCTTCACATCTGGCCAAAGATAAAGAGAAAAGTATTGTCTGCTTTTTTGTAAATACCACAGTTTTCAAATTCTTGATATGAGTAGACCATTTCTGAGGGGGAAAAAATCGCTAATGTTGACTATTTCAGCTCCACTCTTACTTAAAATCAAATGACATTTTTACCAGGCACTGTACTAGATTTACAGGAATCTAGAGAAAGGGGCAACATTTCAAAATAATTTTGATAACTGTTTATTAGTGACCACCTCTCAAACAATTAAAACTACTTCTGTTTAAATGTATTATAGGAAATTATTAGGAAGAATTTATTCATTTATTACTTTTTTGGAAAAAAATATATAATTATCAATTGGTCTAGAACGTTAAACAATAATTCACTAAAGATTGAAAAATATCTAAAATTTCTCAAGCGTTTACTTGCAACCAGAGATTGCTTAAACATACACTTAAAATGTGCTTAAAGAAAATAATACAGCTGAGTGGATATTTAAAGGATCATGCAGCACACTGCCCAGCTCTTAAATATTCAATAAATAATTTGGTCATTTTGGTAGATTTTATTCCTATGAATTAGAAATGTCTGGTCTCCAGAGCATTGCCCAGAAGACTAATATCATTCTCAGTATATCCCTTTCAAGATTCCTGTAATACCATCTTTACAATCACCCTGGAACAGTCTTTCTGACTTCCGGCCCAGAGCTCATGCCATGATTCCACATTACCTGTCTGCTCATATGAAAAGAAATCCTGTGACATTTAGAGCCCTGTCTGGTTTTGAGTGTGCAGTGGGGCTGCTTTACATTCTGCTTTATCTATTGACAAGCAGTCAACACTTAATATCAGAAATGTGTTCTTATTTGACTTGAGCTTGTCCCAGATTTTGTCTTAATCAGAGCAATTTGTAACATCAGCTCACACCATAGAGAGCAATGAAATAAATAAAAGGTTCAAAAGCTGTCCTGAGCCACACATCTAACAGGAAACCAAGTTTCTTAAAGTTAGTATTTAAATTGCTTAAGCCTGTGATTTTTCACTTGGCATTTTCTCCTGGTCAGTCCTGTCTCCTTCTTTTCCTTTATCCATTCTGAATCTTGCTCTCTTTTTTAAAAAAATACTCTTTATCTGAAATGTTCTTTTCCTCTGGCATTGGCTTCTGCAGGAAAAAAATGACTCCTTTAAATCCTAAAATCCTGCCATTTAAAGTCTGTTGTGGAGTAGGAGACGATCTGCTTCTGATAGGTCCCTTTTGGTCCAGTTAATCCAGGCTGCCTTCTTCACATTGCTACCTTTAGTTCCCCAAAAAGAGTTCCACCCCTGAGACCCAGGGTTTCTCATCAAAATCTTTATATTAGTCACAGATTAATGTCTAAGTCCTGTTTAATATTCCAGAGGCTCCTGGCTATGAATTTCTTATTGCACATGAGCCTCCTGTTTTTCTAAGCTTACACTTGTCAGGAATAGCAACAGCCCTAACAGTAACTAAAGCAGCAAAAATAGTGGTCAGAAACACTATGGAATATATTTGGGAGATTGGGAAGATTATTTTCCTTGTTTTTCCCATAAAAAGCCCCCACCCCCCACCCCACAGTGCATTTCAGAAAGTCTGCATTGCATTTTACAGATAGGTAGTTTTAGTTTTTGCAAATATAGCTTAGGAAATGTTCTGAGATTGAGGCTGGTAGCAAACAAGTTTATTTTCTCCACTGGACTTTAGGACAAGTGTGCATAGATGCAATTCCTTCAAAGAAAGTGAAACATAGTAAAGGAAAGAGATAATACTTTTACACATTAAAACAGTTGTTTGCTATCTGTAAACCTTGATTTAAGCATAACTATAACTTTCTAGAAATGTAAAACTGGAGAAATGTGTATGTCAATAAGGTTTGTTTGTTGATTTGTTTGTTTTCCTCTATTTCTTTCTTCACAAGGTAGTTAAATATTTTGATTCTTTAATTTGATATTGTCAGTGGGCAGTCAAATAACTAACTCCCCCCCACAGTAATTTCCTCTTAGAAAAAAAAGGCCTTCCATCTTACCATGAAGGAGTCTTTGCTTCATGAAAAATCTTATCTTTCTTTTATAATAACACTTGAGAGCTTTGAGGAGATAAATTCTGCACTTCGAGGATAGAATAGTTAAAATAAAAACTATTCCTTGAGGACGAAGCTCTGTTTGCCTAAACTAACAGGTCTAGGGCCAAAGAATGAGAAGTGGTTCCAGATGAAGGTCATACATTTTATACTACACATCCATGTATTGTCTCCTCAAATTTTTTTGAAATAAAACTGGGAGTAAATTAATGTAATTAAACTTCTCTTTGGGTGTTTCTTATTAATATTTAGTGCAGAATACTCAGAAAAGAAAAAGAAGGGGTGCTACCAAAATGCCAAAATCAGTTGATTATAGATTTTTATAACTGTAGGGATTTCTGTTGTATTCATTTCAAGACTTTTTGTTTTCATGATGCCCTAAGTACAGATACATTCACTGTCCCATGGCTTCTTATCCCCCCTACCTGGGCACTGGAGATGACAGTGACAGAAAGGTGGGCCCTGCATTGTCAGTACTTCACCCATGCATACTGCACTACTAAGAAAGAAATACTCGAGGTAAAATCTGAAAAAAAGGAAATTTTAGTGCTTCATTTGAATGCATATTGTTTTCAACTCAATTTACAGTGAGCCTGATAACCTTTTTACTGATTAGTAAAGTCTTTTGATAAAGTTTAGTGATTTCGTATTTTAGAAACATTTGTTTGTTGATTTGTTTTCCTTTATTTCTTTTCAAGATAGTAAAAGATTTTGGCTCTTCAATTTGATATTGTCCATGAGCAGTCAAATAACACCCATATAGTTTTCCTCTTTTAAAAAAAAATCCTTCCATCTTACCATCAAGGAGTCTTTCTTCATGAAAACCTTATCTTTCTTTACTAATGGCACTTGAGAGCTTTGAGGAAATTCTCTCTGAACTTTGAGGATAGAATAGTTAAGATAAAAACTATTCCTTGAGGAAGAAACCCTCTTTTGTGCTGTAATTTCCATTTTTGCTTCAGTCTTTAAAATAGTTACAATTTCAATTCAATGAACAGAGAAAAACAAAGGGGACAGGACAATGTGATGGGATTAAATTTGATACAGTCCTGGATAGCGAAAGCTGGTTCTCAGGGTTACCAGAGGTTGGCACTGCTCTTCGCTTGTCATTGTGACCCTTCTCTTGATATAATTTTTCTAGGAAGTAGTATATTAACTATCCTTCTTCGTGATACAAGATTTCTCTTAATGCTATCAGACTCATCTAAAAAATTGATAGACATCCGTGACGATTTCTATACCTAATCTGTTCTCCAAGGCACGTGGGGAGCATGCAGAAATAACTAAATATAATGGTTCAAATTTGAGATAAAATTTTCCTACTGTAACCTCCAGTGCTTTGGGAATGTTTATAATCAGAAGGATCTTTGAAAACCAAAGCTAGCTCTACTCTTGGTCTCCTTATAACAATCCTTGATTTAAAATCAAGTGTAGATTTGTAGGAGAAATTTTTCAAAGGTATTTCCAGCAGCTAAACTTCTCCTTAGTCCCATTGATTTAAACCTTCATTTTCTGGAGGGCACTATTGAGGTATATATTCAGAATAATTTGCATATATCTAAAATTGATTTTTTTACTACATCAAAGAATTGTGGTTTTAAGAATAAATGAAAGTAGGATCTTGCTAATCCTCATCATGACAAATAAAGGTGAGAAGCTGATGGTAGAGAAGATTTATGATAACTTGACTTTAAATTAATTTGATCGTGCTGACTCCACTGTTCCAAATTCCTTTGTTTTCATGATCTTTTCTAAACTGGGTACTGATTCTCCTGAAACTTCCAGCATGCATGTACGGCAGAGCAGAGATGCAGGCTTACATTTGCAGAGTAATAATCCAGACAAACTGGAGACAAATTCTTGAGAGTTACCAAATGCAAAATGTTTCTCCAGAATCGCTCATAATGCTACATCCCAAACTAATGCTAGATTCATCTTAAGCAAGAAGTAAATTCCATAAGGAATCCTACCATGAATTTTTTAGATAACTGAATAATACAAAAAGAGAAACAATGCAGAATCTTAATTTTGATATAGTAATTTACTTATATATTTAATAATTGTACTTTTTGCATGAGTGTCTCATTGAGCTATTTATACCAATTTTCAATCCATCTTTCTGAGAGTGGCCTTGAGAATTTGTATGTATGTGTATGTATATGTGTATCTGTGTGTAGTCAGGAAAAAAAGTGAATAAAGAGGAATAAAGTGAGGTAAAAAGTGGTCAGTGTAGAAAAGTAAGCTCTCCTAGTGTACCTTTTTATGTTATGTAAGGTGGCAGCTGCTTGTAACCCTAGAGAAATAGCTGTTTGCACTATTTCTAAGAAGAGCCCAGCACTATTAAATTTAGGACCATGTTTTAGAAAACAGGAAAGCTTTATCTTTTTCTGTACACATACTCCTTAGTATCAGAGCCATTTGATATGATGAAAACTATTAAAAACCACTACTGATCTTTGCATCAAATAGCTATTTTCCTCTTTTAAATAATATCCCTGATGTCAACTTGACTACTTCCCTTTATTTTCTGCCTACTGGCTTAATGTTTTACAGAGTAATGCATAGATACATGCTAGTTGTTTCTGTTCTTTGAGCTGAAACAAACAGGGACAACAAAAGAGATGACTCACAGTAGTGTGAGGTGAAGACTGAATTTTCCACTTTTGTAGCACTGGTAAGCATTAGTAAGATAAGAGCTGTTTAGGGTTCAGCTTTGAGTCTGTAAGAGGGCTTTTTTTGCACTAAGTATGACTGCACTGCATTGCACTACTGAAATGTATGTACTTGTGCTGGAAGGGAGTGTATTAGATAAAGGAAAGAAAGAGGCGAGTTATGAAACTAGGACGTCACAGAAATTAAGGGTTATTTTCATCATGTTTTCTCTTAGCAGACTTGGTGAGAATTTGTGGAATCTTTGCCAACTTTCAAACCTAAAAAATGCCATGCTGATAAAACCTGTCTTATTGTAAAGAAGCTGGTTAATACAAGTGGAGGACATTTAAGAAGAAACTTAGCCAATGTTTTTTCCAAGTGAGCTTTCAGTAAGAGTTATAATAAAGAGGAAGCCAACTGATAAGATGTGAAAGTCTTAACTGTCGAAACCCCCTGCTGGTGCACATTTCAGCGTGACAAAGGACAGTGGTATGTGCTCTTTTTAACACAAATGCAACCTTGTCCATACTGAGATATCCTTTCAACCTGAGCATATTTTTCCATCCATGGGTGAAACTAGATCGGGCTAACCAAAGAGCAAGGCCATACATGTGGTAAAGTCCTTTAGGATAACAGTGAGGGAACAGTGCAATAAACATTGAAAACCAGTGGGGTAAAAGATTTCTTTTGAAACAGGCAACTTCATAATTGGAAGAAGGATCAGA